CATTCTTTGCTTCACTACTTCCTTGTAGGATAACCTAGAGAATTTCCAAAAGTGCTGATATTGGTGGTCATGAATTTCTCTTTATTTCTGTCTTGCCCAGGCTGGCTTCAAACCTCTGGCTATCCTCCTGCCTCAGCCTCCTGAAGTGCTTGAATTACAGGCATGTGCCACCACAACTGGCTTACTGGTTATGGATTTCTTTAGGTGCTCTTTATCATGGAAATATCTTATTTCTCCAACAATTTTGAGCCATAGTTTTGCTGGGTTTACCATCCTGGCTTGGGAATTGGTTTCTTTCAGGGCTTGAAACACCTCACTCCATGTTCTCCTGGCCTTGTAAGTTTGCATTGCAAAGTCCGCTGTAATTCTAATGGGTTTACCATTGTAAGTGATTCGCTGCTTTCCCTAACACCTTTAGCACTCTGTTCTTCTATTGGTTTTCTGGATTTCGACTTTGATGTGTAGTGAAGAGATTCTTTCCTGATCATGGCTATTTGGGGTTGTATATGCCTCACTTATCTGTATATTAAATTCTTTTGTGTTACTTGGAAAGTTTTTTGCTATTATTTCAGTGAAATTTGTTATGCTATTTGTGCTGTCTTCTGATTTTTTCACTAATTCCAATTAATCTTAAAATAGTCTCTGCATCATCTAGGAGCTATGGGGTCCATTTTTCATGTGTTCTTGTTGTTTTAAAGGTCTCTCCTTAGTCACCTTGTCTTCTACTTCTCACACCGTCCTCACACAGGTCACTTTTGTTGCCCAAACTTTCCATAGAATGCTTAATCTCTTGAATTCCTATCTGGAATTTTAAGGATTATAATTCTTTTGTATGCTGATTATTCATGATTTGCATCATTTTGTTTAGCTCTGCTAGCTTTTTATTTGTGTCTTCTGTAGACTTGCATATCATTTTGTTTATTCGGTCCAGTATCTGTTTACTTATACTGTATATTCTGTGAGCTTGCACATACTTTATTGGTTTGTTTGGTTATCTCTTCTGGTACCATTCTGAATAATTCAGCCATGTGACTTTTGATTTCCTCCTCTTTGATGCCCCATGGATCAGTTCTGGGGGTGTTTTGAATTTTTGGATGCATTTTACTAGCTTGTCTGCTTATGTTTCTATTTTGTTTGCCTGTTTGTGTTGAGATTTATGTGTTGATTGTAGTGGAAAGCTTTGTTTTTAATAGGAAGAACTCTTTAATTAATTCTCCTTTTCAGTGGCATTCCCTGAGAGTTGCTACCTATTGGCCTTTGTCTCTGTTGCAAACTCTAACCACCTCTTTACTAAGGATAAGAAGCTGTAGAGTATTTGGGTCCTAACCCAGTCCTACCTCAAAAAATGGCCTATTTACTGTTAATGATGCCAAGTCCAGATACTGGCATCCCTAGTAAACTAATAAATACCAATTTAGCTACATTACTAAATGAAAAGTAGTTTGTCTTCAAGCTTAACATCTTCCTTGGTCAGTGAATGTAAGGGTTTGGGTTAGGAGCACTTGTGACATCACTTGGCTCCAACATTCTAAGAGATTCTGTTCCTATGGTGCTGTGGCCCTAACATTCCTCACCACTGAAGAAGCACTATGCAGGGACAGAGACAGCTCACAGTCCTGTCTTGAACCCACTCAGACACAGTGTGAAGATGCCTTGAAAGGAATGTGGAAGGTGAACATTTTGAAAACCTCAGACCTCCACGGAGGACACATTTTGAAGAGGGGCTGCCTTCCTCAGGAGAACACTTTGAAAGCTGGTGACCTCCTCAGGTGAAGTTCAAAAGTGGATGCTTGCCTCACTTTTTAAAGATTACACAACCATCCAAAGTACTGCTCTAGGAATGAAGTCTTCTGGGGGACATGGAGGTATGTGTTATAACACTATTCTGTGTATTTTGGGATCAAACTGGAAGCCCCCCAAAAGGGTTTGAAGATTAAAAACATTTGAAAATGATTAAGGTGGTAGGGTAGTAATGGCTTCCATCATTTTTTTCAAACTGCCATTAACAGATTAAAATATTTTTCAGCAGAAAGATTTGTGTTTGTTGCCCAGAGAGAGTATGGTTTCTCAAATTCTAGGTTGAGACTTTTTACCTGAGCTACATCTGTTACTGAGGGTCAGGTTTTCATATAGAAATCCTATGACTAAATCTATACATTCTTCTGTTGTGCATTCTCAGACCAATTAACATGCAGTGCATCTTTCATAAAGTTTAGTTTATGAATTATGAAATATAATCTAAGAACATTTGAGTCCTACTTCCTCCAACCCAAGGAATACCGTTAATGGGTTTTTACATTCAAAGTTTAAGACTAGACCCATGCCAGTGCTAAGAAAATCTGTCCACTGAAGGCTCAAGAGAACCAATTCCACATTATGTTTCCAAAATTCTTAGTACTGAGAATTCTTACTAGTTAAAATAGCCCTCTCTCTAACCACTAATAAGAAATTTTACATCTTTCTGTAATAAGCATAGAAACTGTAGTGTCATAAATTATGGTGGGTTTTGTTTTTATTTAAAATCAAATGCACTTTGTTTATAGTTTTTCTAATTTGAGGGTATGTTATGGTTGATACATTGTGTCAACTGGGGGAGTCTAGAGGTTTGGCTAAGTGACTTAGCAGGAAGCCAGAGTGCTTACTTTGTATACATCCTGAGCCTGTG